GCAATAACGGTCTTCATCAGGCGGTCATCGAAGCGTTCTACGCTTGCTATCGAGTCCCGGAAACGTTGAGAGACTATTACAGCCACTCCGTTGGTGGTTTTTGGTTTGCCACACAAAAGGGCTTTAGCCTCGACCGATGTCCCTTGACTTGCAACTGGACCATCTTGTTTCCTGCACAGCACACAGGTCTATACGTCTGCGCTCCAGTGCCTCTGCCAGCTCACATGAGCGCCCCGTCAGCGTTCCAACATTCAACGTTGCTACGCGGACCTTCTCCATGTTGCATGACTTTTGAACTAGCCTGGTTCCTTGCATCAGGGACCCTCGCATACTTTCCACACTCGCCGGGCCATACGAGTGCGCGTCGGCTCCCGCGGACGCCGTAGCATTGATTCGGAATTCACATGGCATATTGAACATTGGGATGTGACTTGGGTGTTCGTAGGCCGGCCCGTCACGAAGGCCTGTCACCTGCTTTCGAGTTTGTCCGCACCACGTGGAGGAACGGACTTCACCATTGTTTGTGTCCCAGCACTGCCCTACAATACAGTTACTCGGGGTCTGGCACTATGACGAGCAACGGTGGCCTTCTTGTAGTTGTGTGGTATCATCCATTTGTCGATCTTGCCGAGGAACAGGCAATATACACCGACGATTTTATTCTCTGTATAGAGCCGCTTGAAAGCCACAGTGTGGGAATCCTTCGCTATGATGATCATCCACTTGCGCCCACGTAACTCCTCATGGTAGAACTCGGGCGGCTTCTCTGCATTCATACAAAATTGACGATTGTGAGTTTTGGCTCGAGGTCCAAGACCACCCATATTTCATCTAGGGCAGAGGTCTAAGGACCGGGTGCGTTTTCACAGTCGTGAATGACATCGTATGCTGAGAACATTACTGCTAGAGGCATAGAATCGGTACTGCGTTCGTGCTTCTACAAGAAAATTAGGTCACCCTCTTGACCATCCTCAGTTTATCGGACATAACTCGGGCAGCAGTTGCAGCAGGGATGTCAGTCTCGCGGGAAGCTCGACAAAGATCCAGGCTCTCCTGAACCAAACCTTCCACCTTGTATTTCGAGAACACCATTACACACAACTACTGGTCCGGCGCAGGTCAAATTTGAGCAGCGCACTTTCCTCTTATGACGCCTGATTTGAAAATCCGGCGCTGATTTTCACCACTCGGGCTTCTTTTCAATTTCTCGAGAACTTCTTCTGTGGGTAGGTTCGCCAAATTTCACAGATACATAGCTAAAGGTACTAGCTTCCAAATGGAAAAAGTAGCCCGCTGCTCTTTCCCCTTTGCTTTTCTGCCATTCCTCTATATATCTCGGCACTTTTGAATGGGATGAGCTAATATTTCAACAATTACGATTACAAAGAAAGTATTCTATAAGAAGCGCGACATCGAGTGATATAATGTGAGGCGCGTGGACGCTGAGGCGTACTAGGAGGGCGCGGTTTGGCGCAGCGCTCATCGTTCTCCACCAGTTGTTGGAAAGAGCAAGTAACAGCAGTTGGTGAAAAACGGGATGGAGCCGCGCTGATTTCCTACCACCCCCAGCTTCCGCAATGAACAAGACCCTATCTGCTCGACGTTCTTGTGGTGTGGCTGGGCGACTATAGCCCGCAGTACTGGTCTTTCACCCGCGCGCTGAACGTTACTGTATCTCCTTTGAATGTGTCTTCGTGTGACTACAGATGCAGAAGATTCTTCTGCAAAAGCTTGAACCAAAACGTAAGTGAGCTTCCAAGCAGTGTGCAATCTACCTCTATAATATTGACAGCGTATTCTTCTCCACGGTACCAATCTCCCAAAATAGGACCGTGACCGACAAGAGCACCAGCACATGCCTAATAGAGAAGAGTTTAAAAATACAGCACTACACCATGTGCCATTGTGAGATCACAATGGATGTAACCTTCAAGAAAATTCCTCGAATTTACCTCAGTGGCGAGTATAAATTTTTCTGGGTGGCGATTATGCGTAGTTGTCAATACTGTGGCTGGGACAAGAGCATCGAGATACCAGTGAACACCGATTCCGTCTACATATTTGGCTGCTTCGCTATCGTCGAAGATCTAAAACCACAGAAACACATGAATGGTAGTAAGCACAAACCATTCAAAGGCGTTTTTTGTAGATAATTCTCTATACTTGAAGTGGGTGATCATTCTCTTCCAGAAACTGCATACGCCTGCAGTCTAGTGAATGAAAAAGAACCCAAATTCACAAGGAACTCAAGCAGTTGCCATACGTTTTCGGAACCCAAAATTAAACTTAACTTGTTTTGAGTTTGTGCACCGTCCACAGGAGGGCTTAAGACACGATTAGCGACGAAGTAAGACTAGAACCTGTTAAAGGCACGGTTCGCGATAAAAACCTAGGTGATGTTGCAGAAATGTGGAAGAAAATTCGCCAAGTGAACCGTCTATGAAGAGAAAATGCCAAAGGGAACGTTGGAAACGCATTCGTCAGGCCTCCTCTAGCCTCAAACAACTGTAGAGGTAAAAGACCGAAAAGACCGCGCGCTGGGACGATTCCCGTCGGCTGATTCCCATTTAAGCTGGGAGGCCGAATTTGGAGGCGGAGTCTGGAGGCGGAGTCACTGGAAAAAGGGATGTACCACTGAAGCAACTTTGCGCCTTAATTCCTTTACCGTACAACTTTCCGCCGCGAAACTGGCACAGGGTTGTCCACTCCGGACCGCACTACCTTCCCACATAACCTCTTGCATTTTCATAGGTCATTTCACCGTCCCTTTCAAGCGTACAAGGTGACCACGCACGCGATCGTAAAGGCTGAGCTACACTCAAAACTCGAAAATTGGCAAGCAACACACAGGAAACTTGAGAGCGAAATATTAACCCACTTCTGTGACCCTAGTCCTCGCCATGTGTGAGTTAAATAGGTCCGCAGCTGCGATAACGTTTCGCTGTCTCTCTTCTCTCAAATAAGCACAGGAACGAGCTAGACGGTAGCGATATTCCGGTGCGGTGTCCATACTCCGCTCGCGCAGCCGGAATATCGCTACTGGCCAGCCAGACGCCTGACCATAGCCAAACGTGCTTTTCGTCTGCGCCTTCTTACTTTTGGTTGTCCTCTACCGTCGACTGATCGTGTTTTGACGCGGGATCTTATAGCTGGTATCGACACGACTGTTGCACAGAGAGGATAGCGCGGACAGCCCAGTCCCTGTTCACTTCTGAGCTGAGAAAGTGGCAAGCTAGTGCAACCGCAGACCCATTCACCTTGCACATGGAAAGGGGCGGAGGTGAATGTACTATACCAGTACCAGTAGGCCCATGTCAGCACACGTTTGCCCATTTGTCGTGATAG